AAATACGCACAAAAACATCAAAAATTAGCACAGAAACAGTACTATATAACATTTTAGACACATTCTAGACAGTTTATCAGCTAAAAAAAGTTAATTTTTGGAGTAAGTTACTCTTTAAACTCTTCTGCTTTACATCCTTAGACGGTGGACATCCATAAAGAGAAAGTAGCACGGCGAGAGATCGGCATCCTCACCACCAACAAAAATACGTCCCGCACTCACAAGATCATCGCCCCGGCCAACCCGGAAAGACCCGTGCGCTACATCCGCAAACCTGTCGACTACAGCCTGCTAGACGACATGGGCCATGGAGTCAAGGTGCTCAGTCCTGCTGTTTTCACATCACATGTTGGCTTTCATTTTGTAGAATACCTTCTTAACCTTTTTGTCAGTTTTATTATAACACTTGTTGCTTTGTCCTTTTTTAAAGAAATTTTAAGGAGAACAATTAAAGTTGTAGCTTTTTGCTCATAATATGCTTATTAACAGATAACATCAACGTACTTTGCTTCCCAATTTAAAGAGATTATCGTTGGAGGAAGGGTGTGGGCGGTCTGTCTCCTGCCTACATCAGATCTACATGATTTAAATGGTTAAACATACTCTGAAAACATCAGCTCTTCTGTAGAAAAATAAGACTTTTCAAAAATAATAATAATGTACTGCCTGCAGTACATTCTCAGTTTGTGGTTACATCCTGCCTCTTTATAGTCTGAACCACGATACCAGGGACTTTGAATTTGGATAATAGGCTGTTGATTCAATTGGTCGTCTTCTTTTGATTGACACCTCTGACCAGCCGGGTTCATCTAGAGTCCAAAATGTGTGGCAAGCCCCTCATGACCCGTATGTGGTGCACGTGATTGACTGGAATCAGCCAATCAGCTACAAGCTTCATTCTGACACCACAGCTGTGGAGCCAGTTAAGTTACCTTTTATTTGATATGCAGGTTTGAAAATGAAAAAATGTAACAATAGTTATATTGTATTTTATCTTAAATCATAAATAAATACTTTTACAGTTAGAATTAAAACTGCTGAAGTTGAATTTCAGATTGACAGCTTTAAATAGAGACTAGGCTGTGAATTTACTCCAAAGGGTTGAAGAGCAGTACTTCATTTAATTAGGGTTAGGGTTAGACCCACAGTTTAACAGGTTAAATATGAAAAACAGAGTTCACGTCTTCATTGTTGAGTAAAACACAAACCTCCTTCCTGTATTTCAAACCGTGTACCAGTCATGTTAAACTTAACTTTAGTAGACACTTTATCGGGATAAACAGCCACAATCTAACTTTGAAACAAAAGAGGCACATCCTCCTAAAATGGTCCGGTAGACGGATTTCCTCTGTAAATAAAAATACATTGTAGCAAGCGTAAAAGTAAAAAAATCAAATGCAGACTTGGAGGTCAAGCATCCAGGAAGTATCTGGTTTCTGTGGATTTCAGAGTCCAGTAATGTAAGCTCCAAATCAATGGCTTTTTACCAGGAAACTAAATATAACATCTGTCACCTCCTGCTGGTAACAAGTTCCTGTATTTTATAGAATAACACTTTAAAAGTGGTTGCTTTTTTAAATCCTTTTTCATATCAACGTTTCGCACAAAAACAAGCTTGTTTTTAGTTTTCTCAGAAAATGTAGTCATTTGCTTTAACCTTACAAAGTCACAGATCAAATTCCTCGGATATAAACAATGAGGCGTTGTTGCCTGAATCTCCACAGCTTTCTTCTTTTGTAGCACAAGCATAAAAATAATAAATCATTACTGCTTTCCTCTCCTTTTTCACAAACTAACCTACTGATTTCTTCTCTTTCTCCCTTAATGCTTGCCAAAATATATCTTTGTCAACCGTAGTGGTTGCAAAGGTTTAAGGTAAGACTAAGAGTGGGAGCCTGGTGGTGGGGTTGTTTTGCTTTGAATTGCTGTGGCTGCTTTATTTTTGTTTGTTTTGTTTAGGTAACTTACTGTATGTGTTTTCATTCTTACTGAGAATAAAATGAGATTCAAGGAGAAAATGGCTAACTTGGCAGTAAATGTGGACAACACACAGACACAACTCCGTGTGTTTGTGTGGATGTTAGTAACTTTTTCTTGAACAACTGGGCACATTTTGATGAAACGTGCAGAAAGTAATATTTGGATGATTACCTTCAGTAAACCCAACTCAGAGAAGCTGAGACACTTAATCAAAAACACATGACCATTTCTGGCAAAATGAGTCACATTGAGGAATCTTTCAAATATTAGGTTGTCATTGTTTTCAAAATTTTCATCTCACAAGCTTCAAAATGGTATGTAGTTTGTTTAAATTTGGGAATTTATCACCTGGTCTGGCAACAAGTGTGCTGGTTTAAAAACTAGATTTTTTTTTGGTCTAAAATTGTCTTAGGGAAATCAGCCTATAAAAAAAAGGAAAAGAAAAGGAATCCCTAAGCTTTATAAGGACACTAAGCATGAAGAGCAGCACTGTGGCAGCAGGCAGAGAAAAATAGTCGATTTCAAATGAATTTGTTGGGGTTATCAGACGAAGATGGATTTCTGAAAACATACCTGTTGGCATACTTTGATTTAAAGGTAGATCAGGAAGACATTTTCCTGTTTTAGTTACCCAGATCACTAGATGTTTTATGGACTTCATTTTCCCCCTCAAAATTCAATTATGACAATAATCTATGTTTTCACTCATTTTTCTCTGCAGCCTGTACTCGTTCGCAGTCATTTTCTAAAAGAATACATACAGCAGGTAAAATAAGTATTGAACACGTCAACATTTTTCTCAGTAAATATATTACTAGAGGTGCTAATGACATGAAATTTTCACCAGATGTCGGTAACAACCCAAGTGATCCATACATACAAAGAAATCAAACCATAAATGTCCAGAAATGAAGTTGTTTGTAATAATAGATAGAAGAGGTCCACGAAACCTTCAAGATTTGAAGACTGTGTGGAAG